TATTCTAACTAGCCTTCTATATACTGGTGTATAAATTCCACAATGCTAGTTTTAAAATTTTCAATGAGAGATACCAGGCATACTGGCTTCTCATGTTTATGGCTCAGGGTATTTTCTTCAAATAGGCAAATCTACAATCTACTAAATTATAATTAGAAGATTGCTTGATGAGCATTGAATCAGTTCTCAGTGACCAAAATCAGCAGGTTCTGGTAGTATTATGCATTCATCTTTCCCAGGGAATATATTTGCCACTCAGACCAGATGTTCTTCAATTCTCAGAACATCCTTTTTACTAGATCAGGCTGCAGACAGATGGCCAGCTTTTGAGTTCTTGATTTTTTTGTAACCTAGTTACTATAGATGATCTCCTTTAGCAATTTCTTCCCATTACAGTTTGATAAAATTGCATTCACATCTGTAAAATACTTAGCCCAAAATTAAAATAAAATTACTGTGTGCCTGGCATACAGTAATTACATGATAAAAATATTGATAAAAATAAGTGGTGTTGAGTTCAGGTCACCTTAATACTTGTAGTGTCAAAGACAGTCTTTGGGTCATTTCTTTAGATGACTGATCTGTTTCATCTTTCACATTTTGAGTTATTTTCATTCTTTATTCTTTAATTCTTTTTAACTCCTTAATTTCACTTATCATTAATGATGAATCCATGAGCTAATTAGGACAAACCTTTCTGGCTCTGAATGATTTTGTTACCATTTTGTTTTTGAGACTTTGATTCTTTGCAAATTTTGTTTTTTTGCTCCAAAATACCTCATTCTCCACAGTTTTCCATCTGCAATGTGAATCTATTGAAAAAGATCATCTTCAAGTTACTGCCCAGCTCTAGAATATATATAATTTTATATCTTATTTGAACAGATGATGTCAGTTACAGCCCTTTCCATGTAATCATGCTTACCTTCATTTCAAGATCTGCTTAAATTCTTTATTCTAGAATGTAAAGTTATTTTGAAAATGGTAGCAGCATTGCTATGGAATTGAGAGGCAGGATTGCCTCTCAATACCAGGATGGCCATGGAATTGAGAGGCAATGATTGAAAACCCCAGAAGTAGATGTATAATGATAGTGTATTCAACAGTCAATGATGATAGTACAGATATGACAAATACACAGTTGGCACATAAACTTTTTGTATGAAAATAAGCATGGAAAGGAATAATTCAGATGAATCAGTTGGTCACTCTAGTGACAATAAGCATTGTCAGCCTCCCTCTCTTCATCCACCTAGTTATTCTTTTAAGGGTGGCAAAAGAGATTTAGGAAAATGGTAGAAACGTTGCCATAGCTCTTTCTGGTATTTGTGAAAATATGGTGCATTTTTGAAGCTGGTGGTCTCAACCACACTTACTGTTGTGGGAGTTCAGAAAATGGAAAGATCATTTCAGACGGAGACAATCAGGGAAACCTTGTCAGGAGTGGCTTTGGTCTGGGTCTTGAGGGATGGGTAGTGTTTGAATAGATGAAAGGAAGGAGAAGACATTTTTTGATGGGTGAAATGCCAAGCACAAAGGCATGGAGGTGAGAAATAATAGTGTATGTTAGGGGAGTGGAGAGTCCAGTAGTTTGGTGCAAAGTTCCTTAAAATACAGTCCATGAAAGAGAATTGAGGCAGTCAATTATGTCAGATATCTTCAGAATTAGAAAGACGTGGGTGTTCAGCATGCAACTGGATGAAACTATTGATGCCTCTCAGTGCATCAAGCTTCACATCAAAGAAGAATTCCACTTTAGGACACTTTTTGGAAATTTGGAAAGACTGTCAACATTTTCAAAATAATTCTCTATCTAATATTCAAATGGAAGAAAAAAAAATGATAGTCCTCTGAGGGCAGATGTGGGCCAGTCATGTCAGGTATACATCATGGCTTTCCTGCTTTGATGAGGGAAGGATAGCCACGTGTCATTGTGTCTCATTACTTTCCATATCAGCTGCTGTCATCACCTTTCCAAGAGGTATTACCAAGAGAGAGGAACAGAATATGATGTTTTTTCTCTACTAGACAAAGGTTTGCTGCCTTTCTAGAGGTCTTAATTGAATGTGAAAGCAGAGGAAATAATGTTACTTGACTCTAGCTTGAAAGTCTTGTAGGAATTTAGTGTTCCAGTACAGAGGCTACCTCAACCTGACAAAGCATTCTGTGGAATTCTGCTTTGGTTCTGTGTACCTTTGTGAGTCAAAGATTTCAGTACTGTTACCGTGGAGAAAAAAAAAGTTGCAGTTGATTATCGAAGAAGATGTACGTGTTACTGTGTCAAAGACCGTATCACAATTTCATATCAATAAGCCAGATCTCATTGAGATTTACTCTACTGAGCAGTTAGAATTTTTTAAATGAATTTTCTTCAGGAAGCCACCATTTTTCTTTTATGAAAAATAACAATGCAAGGGAGGCATAATCCTTTATAAATATTGTTTTTTTAAATATATTGCATATGTTCAGGAAATCCATTTCCAGTGCAGTGAAATAAGATATGGTATATGCATTTGTGTGCATGTTTCTGGAGGACAAAGTCTGTATCTTTAATCAGAATCTCAGACTGGTCTTTGACTCCCCTGAAAGATTAAGAATTAATAATTTAGCTAGTGTGGAGATAGTGGGAAGCTATAGATGAATCTGAGCAAAGGAATGACAGGAAATTGGAAAGCTCATGTAAAGAATGTGAGAAGGAAAGCTTTGGCAGGACTGAGGGGGTGATTTAGGGATTTAGATTAGCTCCAGGGTCTGAGTTAGCCTAATAATCTGAAGGTAATTTTCTAGATAGAGCTTCTCAAAGGTAGGAACCCCCTGTTACCCTTTTTTTTTTGTTTTGTTTTAGTAGTGTCTAAGCACAGTGCCTGAGACAATAGGTACTCAAAAATGTCAAATTAAATTGAATCACTCACTGTATGGATATTGAAAGTTGGATTACAGCACGAAAAATAAATGCTCCTCTGTTTTATCTGTATTTAATCCTGTTTATGTTATAACTCATTTGGTGGAAAAATAAGGTTTTTGGAGAGAGAATGCTTTATAAACACCTCAGACAACCAACTTTCTTTTTGTGCAGGAGTGATGAGTTAATATAAACTTTTGGCCTCTTAGGATTTGTTCCCTGTAAATTTCATTTCTGATGAATATTTACTAGAGGTGTGCCTCTAGATACGATGATTTTATCCAGTCCCTTCAGAAACAGGGAAACTTGCAGGATGGTGTGGATGACTAGGTCATCATATATTTAAGCAATATTCTTTTTTTTTTTTTTAAGATTTTATTTATTTGAGACAGAGCGTGAACATAAGCAGGCAGAGGAGCAGAGGAGCAGAGGGAGAGGGAGAAACAGATTCCCCGCTAAGCCGGGAGCCCCATGTGGGGCTTGATCCCAGGACCAGGACCCAAGGATCATGACCTGAGCCGAAGGCAGTCGCTCAATTGACTGAGCCACCCAGGCGCCCCTATTTAAGCAATATTCTGATGAACAGCTAACCTTGGGTTTGTTCCATCATTAAGTAAAATCAACCCGACAACTCTGAGGTCACTTTGGCTTAAAATATCATTGGAACTTACAGACTTTCTATCAATTTAACAATAGTGCCCGGAGTCCTACCCCTACATTATATCAGTATAATTATATGGTCATCCTTATGCATTTTCCTGGGACAAGGTTTGGCAAAACAGACTTACTAAGGATTAATTAACTGCTAAAAATGTTAATGTGTTCTCTTGAAAGACCAGGATGTTTGACTCTAGTTCATTGTAACATTTTAGTTTTGCTCCCACTAGGTTCTTTTAAGTTAAAGAGAAAATTGTTGAATACATTGTTAAAACATTGGTATTGTATAAAACATTTCCAAAAACATAATTTTTTTTTTGTTTTTAGTAAACTTTGTGTCCCCAAGTCTGTGGCGATCATAAATCAAATTAAGTTTGTTAAAAGCCCAGAAAACTTCCTTGCCCCCAACTTTTGTCTGAAGTAGAAATGATTACTACTGTAAAATAAGGTATAACTTCACAAAAGACCAGAATATTTAAGGGATAAACTGCTTTGTAATACTCTGATTTACTCAGAACCTTTCAAGAAAAAGTACTTCTGGGCATCATCCATCATTCTTAAAATCTGATGTCCACCAGTTTGCTAAACAATATGATTATTTTCATAAATTTGAATTACGAGACAGAATGGATCCGTAAGAATGGAGTAAAATTTTATTAAATTGTGTTTTTATCATAAAAATAAAATGTGCTTATTGTATACAATTTGGAAAATAGTTCAAGATTACCTGCGGCCTCATCACCTGGAGATGACTAACATTTTGGGGTGTTTCTCTCCCATTATTTTACACATCTGTGTAAAATACATCTGTGGTGTGTTGTGTGTGTCCACGTATAAGGAAGTATACACCCCTCCACACACACTACAAATGGGGATGAAAACTGATGATTTCCCATATGATTAGGTATTATTCCCCAGCGTTATTTTAATAGCAGGCTAATATCCACTATAAGAAAAAGACTGTAACCCACACCTTACTGTTGGATATAGGCTATTTCCAGTTTTTTTTCCCTCTATTTTTTTTTCCTTTTGTTTTTGTTGTTTTCTGTTATAGATACTGCACTGAACACTCTGTATGGAAATTTTGTATGTATTCATAGTTACTCCTTACGGGAAAATTTTAAAGCTAGAATCGCAGGGCCAGAGTGTGAAGAAAACGTCAGGGTTTTTTTTGTTTTGTTTTGTTTTGTTTTGTTTTTTTAACGTCAGGGTTTTGATACCTTTCCTCTTTCCTTACATTGCCCGAACCTGGGAGAGGCTTCAGCCGGACGCTGGTTCCCCGGGGGCCGTGGGACAACCTGTTGGGCGGAGGCGGCAGCGCGCTGACGGGGGGTTTGCGTGTCCCGGCTTGGCCGGGAGCAGCCGGCGCGTGGGTCCCGTTTCTAACCGGCGTGTCTTTGTCTTTCTCCATGGGGACCGCTGCCGCCCGTGCGGGCCGAAGCCTCGGGAAGCCGTCGCCCCGCAGCGCCGCCGCCCTGCGCCCGGCCGCCCCGGGGAGCCGCTGCCCGCCCGCGGGCGCCGTCACCACGCGCCAGGCCGCCGCCAGCTGCCGCGCCAAGCTCCGCGGGGGCGCCGCCCGGGAGCGCCAGCACGCCGCCCGCGGCCTCGGCAGGCCCGCGCCGCCCTGAGCCCGCCCTCGGGCCCCTGCGCGCCGCCGCCCGGCCGCCGGCGGGACTACGCCAGCGCCCCGCCGCAGCCCGAGTGCCTCCGGCGCCCCGCCGCGGCCCGCCTTCCTCCCGCCCGCGGCGAGCCCCGCGGGGGCGGCCGGCCGCACAGCGCCCTCGGCCCCTCGCTGCGGCGGAGCGGGTGCAGCCCGGAGCGCCTGCCCGCGCGGCCCCTCGGGAGGACCGTGCGCCTTAGGGCCGGCGAGTCGGCTCTCGGAGCTCACCTCCTCGTCCTGCCTGCCCCAGCCCCGGCTTCCTGGAGAACCTTGTCACTGGCCGGTGGCCTCCTCTTTCCCTCCTCGTAACTTCCCAGCTTCCTAGGCAGTTTCTTTCGTCACGAGTTCTTCGTGGACTAGCCACCGCCCGGGTCGTCTGGGCCCCAAGCCCGGCGTCAGCAAGCTGCTCGCTCCTCCCCTGCCGCGCCGGCCGCCGGAAGACCGTTTTAATTAGTGTACAGATCCCCAGCGGCTACGGGGTGGTCGACGCGGTCTGGAGGGTGTGACGCGTAACTGTGGCAGAGCTTGAACTCCCAACATCCAGCCCCTCCTGGTAACTCGCTTCCTCTCCAGGGACCGTTTCTGCCCTTCGGAATCCGCCCTCGCCGCCGTGGCTCCAAGCTGCCTTCCCGGGAGGTGCGCACGGCCTGCGGCCTCCCGGGCTACTCCCAGCCCCTCGCGGAGCGCCGAGCGCCGCCGGCCCGCGGTGGCACGTGCCGGACTCCGAGGAGCGGAGCGGTGTGCGTGGGCCGCCTGGGCCGCCTGGGCCGCCTGGGCCGCCTGGGCCGCCTGGCCGACACTTTCTTAGAACTGTGCTGCACGTAGTCTGAGGCTCTCCTTGCTCACTCAACCCGCGCCCCCTTCCTTTCCTTGGCGTCAGACTTGCATTATGGTGTGCCGGCCTCCCCCTCCCTCTCCCCGTTTCTTTGTTTTTCCTTCACAGATGTTCCCTTAATAAAACTCTTGCAAGCTGAACCCTGCCTTGGTGTCTGCTTCTAGAAGGACCCGAACTAACACATTATCAGACATGCCACTCCAATCACCATCTTCCTATCCTTCCGGATCCCTTGTTGACTGACAGATAATCCATTATCCTCCTTCCCCCCACCTCCCCCCCCCCGGCCCCCATCAGCCTCTGTTTTAGATTCACTTCTTCCTTGACTAGTCTAGACATTGTAGGTCCATCATGGTATGATCATCCTCCTTGAAATACAGTGCTCTCAGCGGTCTTGAGCCTCAATTTCTTTCAATTGACTTTCCTGGTAAAATCCCAACTCTGGATAAAACTTTACTATCTGTTGGGACGATTGAACATTCTCTTCAAGAAATTCACACAGTGCAGTCAATTAGTTTCGCTTTCAACTTGTTATTTCCAACCTCAGATTGCTGCTATTGTTCCTGTTAGAGTCTCAGTTTCCCACCAGAACTGATAAACCCTTCCATCTCTCCCCATATTTTTTCTGATCCCCTCCTGCCTGTTTACTTCAAAATTCCCTTGGAAAATAGGAGCTATTACATAAAAACTTCTTCATCCTTCCACCACCAGACCTCTCCTCCCCACCCCAACCCAGCTAACCTGGTGATCATCTCCTTCCTTTTGCTGACTATGGAGGGTGTTTCAAAGGCCAGCCCCTCCTCTTATGCTCTGGATCCCATCCCCTGTCGCCTTTCTGAGGAGTTCCTCCTTAGGTTTCCCCCTTTCACTCTTCTGCATCACCAGTCTCTGTTTTGAATGGATCATTCTCATCAACCTGTGGACATATTCTGGTGTCCCTGCATCTAAACCACTTTCCCATCTATTGGCCATTTCTCAGCTCTCCTCCATAACTAAACTTCTCTGTGGAGTTATATATTGTCTTCATTTTCCCATCTTGCAATTACTTTTCAGTTCACACTCTGACTCCCCTGCCACCACCAGCACTGATAGTGTCCTTAAGGTCACCAGTCACCTCCATATTACCCTATCCAAGAGGATATTTTTCTGTCCTCACCTTGACCACTCTCTCCTCTTGAAAGCTCTCTCTTCATATCCAAGACACTGTTCTTTCCTGGTCTTCCTCCTCCTTCACTGGTCAGTGTTATATTCCTTCTGCCTACCTTTGAGGAGTCAGGTCCCTCTTTTTTTCCTATGTTCTTCCCCATGACAGTCTTCAATTTCCATGGATTTAACTACCATCTTTATGCTAAAGGGTTTCAAATTTGTTTCCTACCTTGACCTTTAAGTTCTAGACTCACATATCTAATGTGCTTGCTTAATATCTTCCCTTGGATGAGTCAGATCTTTCAAACGTAACATGTCCCAAATCTAATTCCTCATTCTTATCCCAAACCTATTTCCTCCATCTTCTCTATTATAGTAAATAGCACCACCATCTTAACCAATTGCCTAAGCTAGAAACCTAAGAATCATCCTTGATCCTTTTGATGACCTCTTTTTCTTACATCAAATAGACCAGCATAATCTATCAGTTTTATCTCCAAAGTATACCTTTTAATCTGTCTGCTGCTTTGCATTTTCAATTAAGCTATCACTTAATCCTGGTGAATATTTTTCTCCCTTGATTACCATCACAGCCCCTGAATCTACTCTTGACTCATGACCCACTTCAGTACATTCTTGATACGGTGGCAACAATGATCATAAATAGAATTGAGTAAATTGTTGCTCATAGGATAAAAATCTAACCCCCCTACCATGGCTCACACAGTCCTATACAAATTGACGCTTATTGTTCTCTCCATGCCCATCCATGCTCACCTCTCTATTGCTCACTATGATGCAGCCACACTGGTTCCTCCAATATGCCGAGATCTTTTCTGCACCTCAGGGGCTTGGTAAATGTCATCTCTGCTTAAGCTGCTCTCTTGGGTATCCTTTATGTAATGCTTAAATACATCTTAAGAAAGACCTGCCCAGAGCATTGTTTGAAAATAGTCCTCACCACTCTTTTCCCATTTGCTGTCTTGGTTCTTTGTTTCCTTCATTACTCAATCCCTTATCTCAATTTGTAGCTTTATTTATTTGTTTATTTACGTTTTATGTGTGTGCCTGTTTCTCATACCGGGATGAATGAGGGAAGAGACTGTGTCTGGATGTCTAGATTCTTTAACATTGTACTTCTACCCCCTAGCACAATACTTGGCACATATTAGATGCACAATGAATACCTGTTGAAAGAATGAATAAACACATTTGCTAATTTTCTGTTGGGAGTTCGCTTTTTATTGATTTATAAGAACTCTTTATATGTTAAAACCATCAGCCATTTGTTCTCTATGCTGCAGACATTTTGCCCCATTTTGGTACATATGTTATATATGTACCAATTTAATTCATGATGTCTTTGATATATAAAAATATTACATTTTTCATTTAGATAAACCTATTTTCTTTCATGATTTCTGCTTTTGGTGATATGTTTTACAAAGTCTTCTCCATCTCAATGTTATATAAATATTTGTTTATGTTTTTCTTTTAATTTTTAAGATTTAAATCTTTACTCCAAATGGAATTTATTTTTGATATAGATGTGATTAAGGCTCTAAATATTTATTTAGTTGTTGCATCGTCATTTATTGAAAATTCCCTCTTCCGCTGTTTTAAACCATATTTGCCAAATATTAAATTCTTACATATACTTGGAGTGCTTTCTGGATTTATTGTTTGTTGGTTGATTTGTATCATTCTCTATTCCTGAACCGTGCTATTTTAATTACTGTCATTTAATAATTTTCCTTATAATAATGCCACATAATAATGTGATTAACTTTTTAATAGGGCAAACATTATTCTGGGGCAAGCATTACTCTTCTTTTTCAAAATATTTTCAGCTACATTTGTCCATTTATTCTTTCAGATAAACTTTAGTTATATTTCAGTCAAGTTCCAAAAGAAGTCCTATTGGCATTTTATTTAGAATTGCTTCAATGTTATAAATTAACTGGAGGAGAGTTGCCATCTTTGTAATATTAATTTTCCCATTCAGGAATTTGTCACATGTCAAGGTTGTTGAAGGCTTCCTGTATCTTCCTCAGTAATTTTGTGGTCCTGCATATTTTTTGTTAATTATATTATTAGGTATTGCCATATCTTCGTTGGGATCACTTTCTCATCATGTTTTATAACTGGTTGCTCCTTGTAGGCTCAAGCTATGGATTTTTTGGTAACTTTTCTGAACTCCTCCATTAGTCCCCCTAGTTGATTCTCTTCTAAGTAGACAATCATTTGAAGTGTAATTAATGATAATTTTCTCTCTTCCTTTACAATATTTATACCTCATATATTAAATAAGCAATAGTATTAATTTTGCTCTTATTCCTGACTTTTGAGGAAGGTCATTAACATTTCACCAGCTTTTAATATTAGCTGTTGTCCCAAAATAGACGTCTCCATCTGGTTAAGGAAGTGGTTTCCAATTTCACATACACTAAGCATTTTATTGGAAATTGTTGAATTAAACATATTCTGGGAAACTAGATATGATTATATGGTTTTACTTCCTTGACCTATTATTACAATAAATTATATTAATAGATTTCTCATTGTTGGATTATTTCTGCGTGAGGTGCATCCTATTTCATCATGGTGGGTCTTTTCCTCTTTCAATATAATATAACAATGTTGAATTCAGCTCCTTCCATTTTATGTAGGATAATTGCATTTATATTCATGAATAAGATTAAATGGTAGTTTTACTTTTTTTTTTTACATTTTTAAATTCTATTTCTATCAGCTTCAAAAAATCATATTCTATGCTCTAGATTAGTATAGATTATAGGAATAGCTTATTCTTTGAGGATTTGGAGGAACTCATTCATAGCACTGTTTAGGCTCCAAGCTTTTTTTCAGGGCAGGTGAATGGGAGATTAATCTCTGAAAACATTAAAGTTTTCTTCTATGACTTTGGCCTAGACAGGTTAACTACTATTTCTTGGGTATCATTTTAAAAGATAATATTTTAAAAGAAAATCATGCAGTTTCATAGAATTTTAAAATGTATTAACAGACTTTTACATATAATTATCTTATAATTAAAAATATTTTTCTCTATATTTATAGTTACAGCTCCTTTCTCATTTCTAATTTTTTGGTTGCATTTTTCTTTCTTTTATTAGACTTGCCAGTCTTTTAAAGGAACAACACTTAACTATTTCATAAATCCTATTTTGTCTATTTTTATATTACTAATGTAACTTCTACTCTTCCCTAATTTCTTCTTTGCTCCTTTCTTAAGTTTATTTTGTTTCCTGAATGTTTCTTTGTAATTGATGACGTAATTCATTTATTTTTTTCTTATTTAATAATAGGACACATAGGCTATAACTTTAACTGTGAAAACAGCTTTGACTGCATCTCAAAGTTTTGGTATGTAGTCTCCTAATTGTTGCTATTTTAAAATAATGGATTATAATTTCTGTTTTTATTTCATTTTTGCCTGGTGTTATTTAGGATAGTGTTGTGAGGTTTTGTTTTTGTGAATCCTGATTTCCTTTTAATAAAGAATAAATTTATTAATATTTATGTTGCTATTTTAATAAAGAGCTAACTTTGTTTTGAAAAAGTGAAATTATCTGTGAAGTGGTCTTATCTGAAGTTATGTGCAAGCATTACCTAGAGTTCCTTCTTACAAGATCCTCCCCAAACCATCAACTAGTGGTGTCTATACTAATTACTGACAGCAGGGATTTTGCATACTAATACCAATAATTTACTGAAATTGTGATTTCTATATAATGGCCTACTTGCTCATGTAAAAGGCAAGAAAGAGCTTTAAAATTTTTATTGCATCCAAACTCCTCGGATAATATGGAACTTAAAATGATCATCTAATAATTAGGAAAACTCATTATCAAAATTTATGAACTCAGGAGGAATTTGAAAACTGAACGTGGACTTTATCACAGAATTTTTGGCATTGGCGATCATTTTCCTTTAGACTTGAAAAAGTAATTTTAAAAACCTTTATTTTTATAATTGCAAATGTGATTTATGTACATAAATAAAATAAAAATTATCTGTAACTATCACTCAGAAAAAAAACTGTTAACATTTTGTTCTATTTTCTTTTGAGACTGTTTCTGTACATTGCTCTTTCTTTTTAATAGAATTAGGATCATACTCTTTTACATCTTGGTTTTGTGTCTTCACTATTATTTGTGAGAATATCCCTATGAAATAGGAAGTGGAAACGATTGGGAATTAATATATTTCCCTGTTAGCAGTATAAAGATTGGGTCTTCCTGCTGTGGTTTCTACTTCTCAGACTGCTTGGTTTTCCAGCCTGGCCCTTGAAGACTCTCTTGGTAATCTTCCACGTAATTTCTTTATTTTTTAAACTAGATCTATCACTTGCATTCAAGAACTCTGACTGATACGAGATTTTGTTTTATTTGATTGATAGTATTTTCAGAATTCTTGTGCTAAAAACAGTATCATGCATGTGTGTACAGGCATAGGTGTGTGTACGTGCCACACACACACATACATCCATATACGTTTGGGGAATATTGTCTACTTTATTAGTCTCTCTGGAGGTTCACAGACCACATTCTTATACTAAAGCCTCTGAGAAGTTCTACATTAAAGAAAAAGGTTGGGGACGCCTGGTGGCTCAGTGGTTGAGTGTCTGCCTTGGGCTCAGGGTGTGATCCTGGATCCTTGGATCAAATCCCACATCAGGCTCTCTGTGGGGAGTCTGCTTCTCCCTCTGCCTGTGTCTTGACTCTCTCTGTTTCTCATAAATAAATAAATCTTTAAAAAAATAAAAAGGTTTGCTTAAAAATATTTCTAACATTTCATTCTAGAATACATTTTTTTCATAGGACTCAATATTTTTTTGGCATTTTAAAAAAGGTTATTTATTTGAGAGAGAGAGAAAGAGGGAGAGAGAGAGAGAGAGAGAGAGAGCATGAGCTGGGGGAGGGGTAGAGGGAGAAGAAGACTCCCAGTTGAGCGGCGAGCCTGACGTGGGGCTCGATCCCAGGACCCCAGGATCATGATCCAAGCTGAAGGCAGACACTTAACTGAGACACCCACGTGCCTCAGGCCATTAATATATATATATATATATATATATATATATATATATATATATTTTAATTTTTTTAAAATTTATTTATGATAGTCCCACAGAGAGAGAGAGAGAGAGAGAGAGAGAGAGAGGCAGAGATACAGGCAGAGAGAGAAGCAGGCTCTATGCACCGGGAGCCCGAAGTGGGATTCGATCCCGGGTCTCCAGGATCGCGCCCTGGGCCAAAGGCAGGTGCCAAACTGCTGCGCCACCCAGGGATCCCCCATTAATATATTTTTATAAGATCTCAGGTTTTTATTTATTAGCATAGCAATATTTTGATAGACCTTTCACTTGGCTTCCACATAGCAGTAATAATTAAATTATTAGTATGGATAGTATAACTCTCAGTTGAGTTAGCATATAGAACAAGTTTATTTTCTGGTGCTGCCTTTTATTGTTTTGTACCTATGAGGTAGTCCCAGCTAGGCCTGAGTATCTGATCTCAAGATTACCCTCAGATCCAGGTAAGAGAGGCCTTTGCTTTGGGCTCCATGCTTTATAGGGCTCTGCTCTGGCCTTTGTTCAGATACTCTTATCTTGCCAGGACAAAGAGTCTGGGGGAACTAAGGGAATATGCCTACCTGGACCCTGAGTCCTCTTCTGTAGACTGCATTCTGGGTGCTTGTAATCTAAAAGTCTCAATCCACACAGCCTCACCCTCTGAAGCCTCTTCAGGTCCATCCATTATGCCATCAGTTAAACACCTGTGGGCCCAAAAAGTAACCAAATGGTGGCACTTGCAAGGATGTAGACACAGCTTGGTTCTGCAGGCTAGAGAGTCCACAGGGGTGCATATGAGGCCCCTCACAGTGTGGAATGCAGCTGAGGGTGTGGGACAGGGACCAGTTATGGCTAGGCCACCATGCTCCAGCATGGGACTCTGAGGAATCAAAAAATTCTTAATTAAATATGATCTAGGTGATTATGAAGATACATGTGTTAGCATAGAGCAATAGAATTCATTCAATAATTTGATTTGTTTTTTGACTTTGAAAATATTTGGATGTCTGAGACAGAAGTCTCCATTTTACTCTTGCCTGGCTCCTGCAAATATTAGGGGTCAGATTGGTGCTTGGAGGGCTAGGAGCAAAAGTTGAAATCCTGGGGGCAGTAGCACATTGGGACCTCAGAG